TTTGGGGCCTCCCCAGCAATGTCTGAAAACACTTCTGGTTGTCACAACTGGGGGGCTGCCATTAACATCTAGTGGGTGGAGGCCAGGGATGCTGCTGAACATCCTACTGTGCACAGGACAGCCCTTGCAATAAATGACATCCAGCACCAAATGTCAGTAGCGTCAGCCCTGGAATAAATGAAATAACGAGTTAAATCCTCCAGGGGCACGCAATCAAGCTGTCCAATATCAAACATCAAAGAACCTGACCAATGTCCCCTTGTCACCAACTTCCTTGATTGTGTGGGTCATCACATTCAGCAGAAATCTCTCTTCAGTGATTTGATGGTCAGGATGGCTTATGCTTTCAATTTCATGGTAACAAGAAATATAAATAAGAGGAAGTTAAATGGCTGTAGATATAAGGAATTCATTTCAAACTATGTAATTCGTGCCCTAATCAAAGAGAACTGAAATTTGTCTAGTTCCCCGATTCTGTGGGTTCTTTTCCTTGGTAATCATGGACCTTCCTTAAAATTAAATAATTAGCTCTTGGTGAGACCTGTTTATGTGTCATATTTCTATATTTTTAAAATAGATTTTAGAGTGGGAAAGGGGCAGGGTGACTTGCTCCCCAAAGTCACTGGGGACAAGGGGAACCGAGAGGGCAAGGGGTCCTCACTTATTGAGGCAAACAGACTTCCTGGAATAACAACAAAGAAACCAATATTCTTCTCTTCGTTGTGTTGGAGCATAATGTGTGTGGGGGTGCAATTAGGGATGGGCCTGAGAGTAAAGGGCAACCACCAAGGCAACGTCAGTACCATCACCTGCCCCCCTCTCCGTCCCTGCCCCGCCCCCCACCAGCTTCCTTGGGTCCCTGTCAAACACAGAGGTGTCAGGAATGCTCAGACTTTCTTCAAATGCAAATTTAACTTACCCAAATCGGCATCCTAGGGAACCAGAAAATAACCTAAGTCAGGGTTCTCACCAGGGACAATTCTGCCCCCAGGGCACATCTGGCCACAGCTGGAGTCACAGCTCAGGAAAGGAGGGGAGCAGTGCTACTGACATCCAGTGGGTAGAGGCCAGGGAGGCCATGCCACTCAAGTCCTACAGTGCACAGAACACCCCACGACAGAGAATTATCCAGGCCAAATATCAACAGAGCCCAGACTGAGAAAGCCTTCTCTAAATGGGGGTGGGGTGCATAAGACTGAAAGACTGAAGCCCTGGAAATGTTGTTCCCATGACAGAGCTCCTCCCTGAGTGTCGCCCCCTAAGCACAGTGTCATAAGATGGGGACTCTAGAGCCAAACTCCCCGCCCTGCATCTAATAGCTGTGTGACATCCGGCAAGTCATTCAACTCTTTCCCTCAATTTCTTTAATCCTGAAACTGATAAAAATCACAGTATCTGTCCTAGCCAGTTTGCTCAGTGGTTAGAGCACCAGCCCATAGACTGAAGGGTCCCTGGTTCAATTCCGGCCAAAGGCACATACCTCGGCTGCAGGCTCGCCCCAGTTGGGGTGCGTGTGGGAGGCAACCAATCAACGTGTCTCTCTCACATTGCTGTTTCTCTCTCTCTCCCTTCCACTCTCTCTGAAAAGCAATGGAAAAAATATCCTCAGGTGAGGATTAAAAAAAAATCATAGTGTCTACCTCATAGGTTTGTCATACAGATTAAGTGAATTAGTATAAGTAAGACACCTAGAATAGTGCCTGCATATAGCACGTGCTAGGAAAATGTTTGCCATTATTGTTTTTCATTCGATTTAACTTCCTCTAAAACACAGCCAACAATTTCATCTGCAGCTCATTTTGAGGAAGAGCTTTTGTGTCACACAGAAAGATAAACTGACATGGAAGACAAAATGTTATTCTACTTGAGAGGCTAGTCAGGGATTTGCATGGGCAGTTTTGGCTTCACATGGTTTTTGCCTTGTGACCTGGTTCTCGATAAAATGTGACTCCCTGTGGCGTTCTTCTGATTGAGATAAGTAAGAACCAACCATGAAACACTGACCACACCAGCCCCGACAACTGAAACCCAGATCAGATCCAAGGAATCCGTCAGAGGCAAGAGGAGATCTTTGGGTCCAAATGAATTTTGTGAAGACCGTGCCTTGAAAGTATAAACATAACTTTCCACAGGAGGGACAGTCTCCAGCTCCAGGGACAACCCCAGTGCGACGTCCTGTTCTAGCTGAGGATATGCCTCCACCAAAGTCCTGCCCAGACAGAGGACACAGAAGTCCCACCTATCATCAGGTAACAGGTACCATTTATGAAGCCCACATGAGGTGCAGGGGTTCCACCAGTCTTGTTAAACATGTTTGTCACTTGATTTAGTACCTATGATGGAATATTACCCCCATTTTACAAATGAGAATATGAGGGATCCAGAAGGTGCCCTGACTTGTTCAAGGTCACCATGAATAAAGGGTCAACACCAGGCTAGCCTGGGAGTGACCTGGGTGGAACAGCCCCTGGGTTGGAGGGACAGAGCTGTCAAGCAGGCCATGGATCTCGGTGAACAGAATCAGAAAGGTTTGCAGGATATAGAGGCTGAAGCTACTAGGCGTCACGGTGACTCACAGCACTCTGGCCGCTGCCTCTGGAAGCCCAACATGGCCCATGCTGGTGACACCAGGAATATGGGGGGAGGGGCTGGGTCTCCCAATGAGATGAAGATGCTATGTCGCTGCCCTGTACCCTTTAGTTACAGCTAAGATTCTGATCATGTCACCGCCCTGTACAAATTCCAACTCTAGAACTGCACTGTCCAATATGGGAGCCATGTGTGGCTATTTAAATGAAAATTAAATATTCAAATTTCTGTCCCTTGGTCACACAGCTACGGATCAAGTGCTCAGCAGCCACATGTGGCTGGTGGCTACCATATTGGACAGCACAGATATAGTACATTCCCATTCTCATAGAAAGTTCTAGTGGACATCACACCTCCATAATTTCGCTTATAAGCCCTTCAGGGCACGGCCCCAGTCTCTGCCCAGACTACTCCCCAGTGAACCACTCTTAGCTCTCTAAACTCATCCTACCTTTAAGTCTTTGCATGTGACACCTTACCCTCCTTCCCTGCTTAGCTAACTCCTACCCGTCCTTCAGGTCTCAGCTCAGCTGTCACCTCTTCCCCTGACCAGGATAAGTGCCCAAGCATGTGAACACTGAGTTGTAACAGCCATGGGCATACCTACACCCTGTACCCCCACACCAGTGGCTTTCAACGGGGAGCAAGTTTGCCTCCTGGGGGACATTTGGCAGTGTGAAATGTCCCCGATTACTGGTGGGGTGCTATTGGCATCTGGAGACATTACTGGTGGGGTGCTACTGGCATCTGGTGAGTAGAGGCCAGGGATGCTGCTAAACATCCTACAATGCACAGGACAGCCCCACAGCAAGAAGTACCTGGCCCAGAATGTCAGCAGTGTTGAGACTGACCATCTCTGCTCTCGACTGGGCAACTCCATATAGGCAGGGTGTGTGTCTTTAGACCACGTATCTCCGGCCACCAGCCCAGAGTCGGACATACAGGAGGTGCTCAATAAAGACTGAGCATATAATGAGTTTAGATGCTGTATAAGATTCTTGCCCCAGGATCAAGTTCTTTCACAATTTCTTTCCTTAAAGATGCTCTCTGATCACTATGGTAGGCTGAATGGACTCCAAAATTTGCAGGTCCTACTCCCTGGAACCTGTGAGTGTTACCACATATGGCGAAAGGGACTTTGCAGATGTGATTAAGGATGCTGAGATGGGGAGGTTATCCCAGATCATTCAGCTGGGCCTTAAATGCACCCACAAGTAGCCCTATAGGAGGAAGGAAGAGGGAGATTTGACACAGAGAAAAAAGGCAATGCGAAAATGGAACAGAGAAAGATTTGAAGATGCTACACTGCTGGCCTTGAGGAGGGAGGAAGGGGCCCCAAGCCAGCAGTTACCAGGATCTGGAAAAGACAAAGAATAGACTTTCTCCAGAGCCTCCAGAGGGAGTGTGGCCCTGCTGACACACTTTGGTTTCAGCCCAAAGTGACTTCGGACTTCTGGCCTCCAGAACTGAGAGAATAAATTTCTGTTGTTTTAGGCCAACAAGTTTATGGTAATTTGTTACAGTGGCCCTAGGAAACGAATACCATCCTATTCCATTCTGAGGTTTATTGGATTTGGATCAGAGAATTTTAAAGGAATGGCATGTAGGTGCCAGGTCCCCATGTCTGCTGGTCTGATGGCTGGAGGGAGAGATGGGGCAGAAGCAGGTGAGTGAGTGTGGCTGAGCTATGGATGTTGTAGATGCAGCAGCTGCCTGGGTCATCAGCAATCACATTTATGGGTCATTTTTCACACCTTAGTCCTGCTGCTTTCTGCGATGCTGACAGTCTCAGGCAGGCAAGTGATTTGACCCAGAACACTAAGTCTGTCTGTCTGGAACTGAAGCAGGGATTAGAATAAAAATTCAAGCCCTTGTCCACCTCTCTAGCCTCCTGTCAACCCCTTTCTCTTCTCCCACCACCCACCAGACATAGAGGATTTTCTCTGACTTTCCAACATGGCCTTAGGGTCTTTGCACCTGCTGTCCCTTCCACGTTGAACTCTTCCTCTGGGGTCTCCCATGACTGGCTGCTTCTCATCATTCAGGTCTCAGCTCAAACATCACCTCTTCAGAGATGCCCTCTCTGATTGCACTAATGCAAGCGGCCTTGCCCAGTTACTGTCTCTTTCATCCCTGTTGATTTTCTCCAAACACCTTTGCTTGCCTGTTCAATGTTAGGTGTCCTCCCAGTTGTCCCCACCACCACACACACACACACACAAACACACACACACTGCAGGCTCCAGGAGAGTGGGGACTTTGATCTGTCCAGGGTGTGTCCCTAGCCCATGCCTGGCACACACCAGAAGCTCAATACATTCTGAATGAATGAATGAATGAATGAATGAATGAATGAATGTGAGTGAACGAATGAATTTGGGGGATGCCTGCCCAAAGCCGTCCAATCATACCTGATTTTGGCTTTCCGAAAGGCCAGCTCCTCTTCGTTGCCGAAGTCCAAGGATACATCCTCAGTATCATCCACCAGGGCCTGGGGGCGGGCGCCAAAGACGAGTGACAGACCCGCCCGGGGTGCACAGCCCACCCCCATCCTTCCCGCAGGCGGGGCCCTCCCCTGCGGCTGCGACTCCAGGCCTTCCCCACCCTCCTGTCCATTTAGGGTCCAGCCCGGCCCCGGCCGCGCATCCCCCTCCTCCCCGCTTCCCTGGCGCTCCCGCAGGCTCCTCCCACCTCACCGCCATCCCTCCGCGCCCAGCATCCCCGCGGCCCCACCTGCTTCATCCTCCCTGGAGCCCAGGCCGCAGGCCCCGGCTCTGCCGCTCGCTGCGAAGGAGCTGGGGTGCC